AGCATTTATTTCCCCCTTTTAACAGCCACATATTCATGCCGAAGGGTGGCATGTGCCTCTTCAAAAGCCTTGAATATACCCTTATTCTGTAGCATGGTGAAAGACCCCATGGAGGGTTGCAAGCTGGTGTAATTTGTTTTGCTATAGTTCAGATGAAAGATGAGCTCAGCGTTTTCGAAACCCCAGAAAGTGTACTGTGATTTATCTTCGAACCAAAATTTGCTGTGTAGTCAAAGGTGAAAGGCATCCAAACCCTTTTCTTCAAAAAAGATCTGAGTATTATTATGTTTGTCATCTACCAGCGTCTGTGAGTAATTGCTGGGTCTTGTTTAATTTGTAATAACCTGGTTTTGCTTATTTTTCGTTCGAAAATAATTTTTTTCACCGCTCGATGGTGAAAAAAGGGAAGAAGCAAACGATAAATCAAATACATTTTCAGTTTGGGTATAAAAAAAAGAGGTCTCACCATTCCTTTTGCAGGCTCCAAAAAAAAAACCATAAAAGAAAATAACCAGCTTCAAATCGGTTCAAATGTTGCCTGAGGCTCTTTGCATTTCCCTGCGCAAAAAGACCGCCTTCTTGCTAGCCAAAGGGCCCCCTAGCAGCTCTTTATTCTGCAACATATTGGGCATTCGAGAGGGCCCCCCCCCATGGCCGAACCCCAGGGGGGGCCTTCCACAGGAATAGCCACCACAAACCCATTAGCCGCAGCAAACCAAAGCGCCACTTAAGCGGGCTGCTCTTCAAGGGCGGTGGTCTAAATGCGCCGGGCGGGGCGGTTCCGGCGGCGTAGGGCGCATCTTGGGAAATTCCGCCAGCGCTGCTGAGCGCCCCTGGCTCTAGAGAAGTCCGGGGCCCGAAACCCCAACCATAACAGACACCGGAGCCCGACTTGCCGTTTCTGAACCCAACCGTGCCCGAGCGTTATGCTTGTTTTTCGCTTTTCAAAANACAGACACCGGAGCCCGACTTGCCGTTTCTGAACCCAACCGTGCCCGAGCGTTATGCTTGTTTTTCGCTTTTCAAAATCACATGGGACAAACGCTTTTGCCGATATATATATATATATATATATATATATGCATATATATGTGTGTATTTGTTCTGCCCCGTGCGAAAAAAAAAACGCCTCGTAAAAGGCGGAAAAAAAGGCGTAGCTTCCCGTCGAAATTCCCCGGTTGCGCACGTATTATGCAGCACGCTTTTGGAATACGGATGTTTTTAAAACCAATAATACGTTATCAGGCTTTCGTACCCGCTTGCTGTTTAGACTAGCTTCAAAAAATAGCCATGCGGATGAAGGAACGGCCAAACCCCCGTCCCAACGCCTAAACCCATAATGCCAATAAGCTTCCCAGGCGGGACGTCGCTGAAAAAAAGAAAAAACCATTTGTATTAGAATTTGCTTGAATCCCAATTTTTCTTTTCAAGTCAATATGTTAGGTGCGCTTAGCAGACAAGGGAAGCCAAGAAACCAGGCCGTGCCCCTTTAGCCAGTGCCGCAGCGCAGAGCCTTCGAACCGGAGCAGAAATCGGGGCTTCTCCATATATTGATGCTAACTCTAAATGAAGCATGCCACCTGTGTCTCCTGCCCATCCCCGGAAAACCATCCGCGCCTATTGTCTTCAAACGGCGGTCCGTAGGGAGCCGTGGTTTCTTGGCGTCCGGGACAGGCCAATCACGAAAGAAATCAGCGCGATATTGCACATAAGATCCTCACATGCGACCCCCATGGGTTCACGACGGCTAAATTATTCATAGGCCAAAAAATTCATTGCTTCTGATGCCCACAGTCTTTTTTTACCAAAGAATTCTAGGCTACCAATTTTTTTTTTGTAAATTGGCAAATGAATTGGACCTCAGCTTCAGCTCCACATACTTCTGAAGAAGTAATTTTTTCAATTGCTGAATGGCGCTTTTGAAACTCTTTAAGGTGGGCCCGGGTTTTTCTTGGATCCGAAAGTTTTTTTCCGCAGGTTGCGCGCTGGCGCACTGTACTTTTCACGAAATGTTGGCCCCCATTTCCCTAAAGAAACGAAATAGATCACAAAGGCAGGGTGCCTTTCTTCGAACACGCTAAAGAATTCTTGTTTTTATGGCACGGTAAATGAGACCAAAGGCTGGAGCAAGAAGACCCGATGAAACCCCTGTGCCCCATTGGTCCGCGCCATGGATTTGCCATCTTCTTCTGCTAAAAACCAGCCCGCGTAATACAACAAAAGGGGCTTTATCGAGGTATAAAATCTAATAAAAGCATTGTTGACTTATAATGGTTTAGAAAAGCGAGGAATATCTTTCTTTCGTGTATTCTGTTTAACGTCAAAAACAAGGCGCTGCTCTCGAGAGTGCCCCTCAAAGGATTCACCAGTACCCTTGCATCAAAAACGTGCAAATTTACTTTCAAAACTTAGACGTTCCTCCACACCTTGCAAACATATACAAAGCAATAAAAGATAACCCTTACCCACAACCCAAACAGGAACGATAGACATTTTCAAACGTAAGTTTATGAAACGGTATATGATCATTTAAAACATGCAGCAAAAAAGATGATTCCTATGATAAAACCAATAAAAGTAGCGTCGCTTTTGTTCTCAGTTTCCCAAGAACATAAAAACGGGACGGGAAAACCTATCAGCAAACATCGTAAATTCCAAATAAAAAAAAGGCTAAGCGTAAAAACAAAATAAAAAACAAAAACTCTGTAATGTCCCAAATACTCAAAACCAGCAAATTGGAGATTCATAATTATACGACTGGCGCGGCTTCATGGTGCCAGCCACCCCATCGTGGCACCAAGGTNGTTTCGATTCAAAGAGGCGCGTGAAGAAGTAGTTACTGGGGGCACGTAGGAACATATTCCTGCGCAAGATTTTGCAGGCGGAAACACACACCGTGCGCTTGGGACTCTGGGCTGTAAAAGGGCAACTCCTTGGTGATGCCAGCCACCCCATCGTGGCACCAAGGTCCAGCACCCCGTATTGTCGGGGGAAGCCGAGCGCCAGCAACGTTCGCCACCTGGAGAACTTTGCGGCGCCCGGCTTACGGCATCACACAGTACCAGGACCCGCCGCGTCTTGCTGGGACACAGTATTATCCTTGTCGGTTCTGGGGCGCGTGTTACCGCGCCATCAGCAGTATCATCCGCACCAAGTTACTGCTTAGTGGAAATGTGGAAGAGAATCCCGGCCCTACATTGAGGGGCGTGCAATGGAACTCAGCAGGGCAAACACAGGTCAAATGCCTAGCCTTGGGTAAACAGCTCTACGATGATAATATCGCGTTCTGCTTACTGAGTGAGGCAAAAATGTCCCCACCCCTGAAGCAGCTAGTTTTTGACTCTCTGGGTTCCAACACTATGGGATAGCTCGCGCCTGTCGTGGTGGAGGTGTATTAATCTTCATCCGGGATGAGATAAAGGTAGGGACAGGACCGGCGCTTGTTGCAGGCATTGAGCTTGCACAGGTGACCATCCATCTGGAAGCAGGTATGAAACTGACGATCTCATCAGCGTACCTCCCCCCTGTCGCCACCAAGATCACTCCAGAGGACCTCGATAGACTTAACACAGACGGGCCACAGCTCATAGGTGCCGA